AAAAAAAAAAAATAAAAAATAAAAAAAATAAATAAAAAAATAAAATAAATAAAGGTATCTCTTCAAGTATTATTGAAATTATTTTTCGTGTAATTACATTCAATAGGACTACAAGAATCACTTAAACAACATGTCATATAGGTAGTTAGTTTCTTTCTTCTTTTTTTCAAATTAATTATCGTTATATATATATATATATATGAATAAATAGCTTTCGGGCTGACATACTTTTTTTGGAAGATATAGGTTTCCGATGGTCCAATTTTAAATATAGATTTAAAAAAAATATCTTAGAAAATATAATATCCAGACATAATGTGCAATGCCCGCATCTCGACCTTGATGTACTATAACGGCAATACAGCTATTGATGCAATTGTATTAATTAGTTTGAACAGTTGAAGAGGCAAGGCGATGATCAAATGTTTTCAATTGCACTATTGTCGCAATTTAGTTATCTAGGTTACGTTGAAAGAATATATATATATATATATATATATATATATATATATAAATCACATGCATGCAAGTTTTTTAGGTGAATTTGAAAAAAAAATCAAATTGTGTAGTTGAGTATAGATTTATTTGTTTTAGTATATTCATCAATATAAATTTATTTGGAATCGACCATGTAATGTATAAATTATTAGGGCGATATATAGATCTGACAGTATTTTAATTAAATAAAAAAATGGTTAATTATAGTAATTTTTCTGTGTAAAAATAACTTATTTAAAAAAAAACAATTACAACCGAGAAAATAAGGTTATATTAATTCTAAATTACAATTATACCTTACACACAATAATAAATAACAATTTCAAAATATACAATAATATAAATAATAAGATACACCATTTATTATCCTGAAAAGTATTTCTGCAATTCTCAATTATTGCTAGATTTAGTCAATTTAATATTTTACCCAGGATTTTTTCTTCTTTTCGAGGAATTTCCAGTTTGGACGTATCTGTGGAAAACAAAATTCCTGTTTTAATTATAAATTAATTTTTTCGTAATATATAATATGAAAAATACATACTTTAATTCTACATGTTGCATTGAGTTTAATCATAAATTTTGAAGTAAAAAAAGTTAATTTACGCCTCTCTAACATGACGTTGCGTTAAGATAAATTTTTCAATAATAATCCATTATAGAGAGGATGAAAGGCTGAACATTTCCCTCGCTTACAGTATGCAGGTCCGATTATTAGTTTCTGAGATATTTTAATCCATATCTTCAATAAAACTCATTATCATTTGGTTTTCGATACTGTTTTTTTTTTTTTCCTTTTCGCCTCCCTAACACGACGTCGCGTTAAGATACAATTTTAAATAATGGCACATTACAGAGTGTATAAAATTTTGAACAATTTCCTCGCTTACAGTATGCAGGCCCGATGTTTAGTTTCTGAGATATTTTAATCCATATGTAAAAATATTTTAATTAGTCGACTCAAGCTGACTTTACCCGAGCGTTAAAATATGACGGATTAATATAATTCACTCTCTAATATAAGTGCACAAACAATTATGTTTAATTTAAATATAGTCCGTGGTACAGACCCCTTATTATCGAACTATTAACATCCGCCTGAAACTTCGTAAATAGTTTCATCTTATCATAAACTCTAAATATTGTATTTACGAAAACTCTCGGAAATGGGGCGTTTTCAATTTGGAGGGAGGCAAACTTTGTCTATTTAATTAGGTACTAAAAACTCATTAATACTCATTTCCTTTCCACTTGAATCATAAGATAACTTAAGCACAAAGTGAAGAAACAAGGTGGCCTTCAAAAATATTGAGCCATTTGGCCTACATAACCTCGTTATTTTGACAATTTGGGGATGTAGGTGACGCCAAACGGCTCAATATTTTTGAAGGCCACCTTTTTTCTTGACTTTATGCTCTTGAAGTTATCTTACGAATCAAGTGGAAAGAAAATGGGTATTTACGAGTTTTTAGTACCTAATTAAATAGACAAAGTTTTCTGACATCCAGATTGAAAATCCCCCATTCCGAGAAATTCCGTAAATACAATATTTGTAGGATACGATGAGATGAAGCTGTTTACGAAGTTTCAGGCGGATGTTAATAATTTCTCTACCATGTAATTAAAAAAATGATGTATTTTCTGTTAGATATTTAGAAAGCAGACTTCAATCAAAAGTATTCATCACACATTTAATTTTTCATAAACCTATTGTACTCCTTTTAGAGCATGATACAAATGACGATCAGTCAGAGCAAAGTTTACCAGAGTAACTTATACACAATTATAATTGTAAATGTTATTACTTTGCGAATATAGAAGAAAAATAGTTTATATATAGTTATAATTGTTTATATTGTAAATGTTATTACATTTTGTAAAAGTTGGGAACAAATTTGTCTGTAAAATGGCTTCAATCAGACCCTAAACTCCTGGATTTTTTCGTGTTTATAGGTTTATAGGAGCCATTATTAAGTTATCACACTGTTTGTAGTTTCCGAAATAAAATTGGTCCTCACCCTTGATGAAAATTTGAGCCAAAAAAAAAAAAAAAATTATTTTTCGATTACAGTGAAAATTGGTATTTGAGGGTTTATCTAGGTGCGAAATACAAATCTCAACTGTGTTTTTCCTTAAAAAAATAATTTAACCCACTTTTCTCCTACGGCCACTAGAAATAGTTTTATTTCGAAGAAAATGGTTATCTATTTCGATGACATCTTTCTTATTTATACGGAAATCAGGAATCTTCAAATAAATGTGGGTTTTATCGGCAAATAGAATATTGGATTCATCGTAACATTTTTCAGCTTGTTTTCGGGAAAGTATGTTATACACATAAATTAAAAGGGTTTCAAGAGGAAGACTTTAGCCAAGTTTCGTTTAAATCGGTGAAGCCGTTTTGGCACTACAGTTTATAGCGACACATTTTTTGCGGCTTTGGACAGAAAAACATTTACATTTTTATTTTTTTTACATATATAAAATTATCGTAAGACAGAAGTACTATGCCAGAAACCTTCTCAGGAGTGTACGGAACAACTTCCCAAAGTTTCATGGCGATCGGATGAATGGTTTAGTAATGCACTAAGGACAAACAGACGGACAGACAGACATACATTCATTTATATATATATATATAATATATCATATTTATAATAGCTTATATAATATATATATATTATATATTATATATATATATAAATATATATATATATAGAGAGAGAGATAGAGAGAGAGAGAGAGAAGATTAATCTTGCCTTGGTTATGTTTTTACTATATACCGTAAGTTTTTATTTATTTTATCTTTTCGCTTTCAGACTTATCAAAGCAAGCCCTATTTTTATAATATAATATTTTTATAATTTTTAAAGAAATCATTTACTATAGACGTTTTGACGTATGTGTTTACGGAACTTTTCTACTCTCGAGTTTCTCAAAAGATATCTGTATTAATCCTACTCGATTTCTTTATTACTGCCTTACTCCCGATTTTTTTCTCAATATTAGAAAATAAAAATTGCAAAACACTGACCTGCTGTTAGCGATCACACAGCCCGAATGATTATCTTGGTCCTGCAGCGGCCTAGAGAGTACTCCTGCCCCCACCTGCACCTCTTGGTCATCACCCTGATCATGTTCCCTTCGACGAAGAAGACGATGACCAGACCGACGAAGAGGATGGACCATCCGAAGCGAAGTGGCATGCTATGGAGGCCGATATGGAGGAGTTGACAATGGCAATTAGCAGGAAAAGCGAAGACAGCTCGTATGCAAATCTGCTTTGTGTTTGTTCAATGCGATTGTGCATCTTCTCTATTGAGGGCAAGCAGAGGTCTATTTTTAATTAACCTGACTTTACTAAATAGAACTAATTTAAAAGTAGCATTATCGCGAGATTTTACGCTAAATTTAGATTACACAGGCATTACTTCATCCTTAAGTGATTTAAAAATCACTAAATCCGAATCAAATTACTCGGACTAACTCTACGTTACTTGAACTGATATTCGACAAAATGAGGAGCTGAGGTCCACTTCAGTAACACTTTAAAAAAATAATTAGTTAATTTATGTTAGTTAAAAATTAGTTATTTTAAATTAGCGTGAGCAGTAAATCTCATTTCCTTTTAGAATACTGTTACATCATATTTTAGCAACCATCTCACCCCATTTTAATTTTTTTTTTGTCTACACTTACGTTTATTATCTTATAAATTCCACTACTTTTCGTTGTTAATTAATTTTTAATTTATTATATTAGCTTATTTCGATTATGTTTATTTTCTTAGTCCGTGCTTTTTTCGTCGTTATTATTTATTTCTTAGTACTCTGTTACTGTTGTTATTCTACCTTCTTTTATTATGTTCACTCTATCTACTTTATTTTACTTTAAGTTTATTCTAAATTTTTAGTCTATACCTTTCACTTTTTTATTGCATGAATGAAAACGTGTTTATTAAACTTTTTAAAAAATTACAAAAATATTAGGAAATATTGTCTTCGAATGGAGGGGAAGAGCCACTCTAACTCAGTGTAGTGGTGAGAGACATGGTAGTATCTCGGGGCACCAATTACAAATCTCGAGCAACTGTTCATTAATCTTTTCAGTCTGTCACGGAAGTATATATAGAGAGGTATTTTAAAGGAAACTCAAAATCCTGCATTATTTTCCTATTAACAGCCCAATAATTTTGAATGGGGTCTTACAGATGTATTGAAAATGGCCTCGTAGCCGAAACGTAGCCAATGTAGAAAAAGGAAAATAAATTCGGTACTATTTATTTATTAATGGCGGAATAAGGACGTTTTCTTTTTCTTAATTCCATATTAAATAGAAATACAACTCGCGTGGATATATTCAACCCCCATGTCTCTGAAAAAAAAAAAATAATCTTATCCAGGCATTGAAAACTTATGAAAATACTCCAAAAATGTCTCCAATTTGTATTTATTTAAGTGTTAATTTTGATCCTGTGTTTATAATTTTGATCCTGTTTCCAGATCGACTCCAGAGCTGAAGGATATCATCAAGAAGGCCGAAGAGAAGAACTGTTCCTCCTTGGGCTGCCTCGAGCTGAGGCCGACCCATCCAACTGTCAGATAACGATATTGTTGCCTTATTTATATTGTACTGAAGCTTAATATTTATATATTATGTAAATTAATTTGTATTATTATTGTTACATTTTCAAAAATTACATTCATTGTTGATTGATTTATATTATTTAAAATAATGCCCTAAACGACATTAAATAAATCAGAATTTTCACGCTAATTTATTCTTCTCTTCAGATCTAAATCTAAATCAGGAGTCACCAAACTTTTTGGCCCGCGGGCCACATCGAGACTCAAGTCACGTGGGTGATGGTATGTGGCAAACAAATTTATAAAAGACAACTTAGTTGAGGAATGAGCTCTGTAAGAGAAGAAGTTGTAGGTTTTTTTTTTTTTTTTTTTTTAATTTTTTTTTTTAATCTTATGTTATTAAGAACAGTCCAGTACCTTGGTTTTCTCCTAGACTGACGACTAACGTGCAATCCGCATACTAGACTGAAAAGACAGGAACTTAACCGACGTTATGGCCAGCTATATCGACTACTGAATAGAAAATCTAAACTTTCTATTGAAAACAAACTACTGATCTACAAGAAAATACTAAAACCCATGTGGACCTACAGACTAGAACTGTGGGGGATAACCACATTTGCTAACATCAAAGGCATCCAACCCTTCCAGTCCAAAGTCCTCCGTACAATAGTCGATGCTCCCTTCTATGTCACCAAAAAACCCTGTATAATGACCTTAATATTCCATTTATTCTTGATCTTATCCCAGAAAAATTCTCCAAATTTCATCAGAACCTTACCCATCACCCTAATCCCGTAGCACAATCCCTATCTAGCACCACTCATCCATACAATCCTCCTCCCAGGCTAAAACGGCATTGGTCCCGTGACCTTTTGTAACATGTATATATTGGAGTTCTGGCAATGTCCAGATTCTCCACCCAAGTCACGATTGTCTGTGGTTGTAGCGCCCTTACTCAATCTCCGCTGGCTTTTAATACCAGTGAAGTGGTTGAGGAAGAAGCGCAGGGATCTCCTGAAGCCTCGCTTTCCCTCCACATGTGGGGGGACAAGTCTGGTTCGGAGTTCCCATGGCCGACTGTGAATAGTGGTAATAGCTATGCCTGCGTCTAAGATGTTTTTTTTTCATTACTTTTTGTTTAAGATAATTTTAATTCTATTTTATTCATTTATTTTTATTCTATTATTACTATTATTTTTATTTTCTTCCTTCACTATGATATTTTATTTTGTTCTTATTTAGCTTTATATTATTTTGAAATTACCTTATTTATTTATTTTTTTGAATTTGTAAATATTGTGTGAATGTGCTCTCAGAACTCTATTATAAATGTCATTTATTGAGGCAGATTGTAATATTTATCAATAAACAAATAATCCAGTATTTTATTAAGAAATAATACATTTTGCCTCAATTGCCGGCATTGGGTATTAAAGCTGTTAGGCTCATCCAAACCATATGTACAATAACAAAAAAAAAAAAATAGAAAAATGATATCAAAAGAAAAGAAAAATAAAACTTAAAAAATTTAACTTAAGACATCATTGAATAAAAACACATTCATACTTATTATGGGAATTTAAAATCCCCTCTGGCACAGGGAACCGAACTAAATTACGTAGCGTACTTTTATTTTTAATCTCAAAGCTTTGTTATCTGGTTGCCAGGAAACTTGCGGTGCTGTGCACCCACGTTAGCCCATTCAGCCACTCCCCCCATTATCCCAACCCATCCTAACATTGACATAGCCACCTATTCAGATGACACATGTATCCTATAAGTTAATAACGATCCATGAATTGCATCCCAAACAGTCACAATCACACATCACTAACCTTGAAGAATGGTGTCTAAACTGGAGGATTAAAATAAATCCCATCAAATCACCTTTACCCTTCGTCTTAAACCAATGACTTGCTGCCCTACAGTATCCTTTAATATCACCCCGCTTCTTATTCCTGTTGTACAAATCCGCTACCTTGGACTCCACCTGGACAAACGCCTCACTCGGAATCCTCATACAAGACAAGAAACCTCCACAAGAAACTGCTCGACGTTTCCGCTTACTCCAGCACTTACTAGACAAACGCTCTAAACTTCCAATTAATTACAAAACACTAACATACATGACTTATTTGGACTTAAGCAGTTGAGCTATGGGACTACATTAAATCAGCAATTTCCTCTCGTATCCAATCCTTACAATCAAAAATCCTCAATGCTCCTTACTTTGTCACAAATAAAATAATCCCTAAAGACTTTAATGTTCCATATGTTTCCGATTTGGCTCCATTCTTCCATAAAAAAAACTTCATAACCATCAGAATCCTCTCGTTTCTAACCTTGCTTCCTATTCAATTCCTGATAACCTTTCGAGCCGCATGAAAAGAAGATTACCTCGTGATCTCCTTATATAGACATGTTATTGCAGTAGTTTCTCAGTAAGCGTTTTCATGTGATTATATTCCTGTGTACACAGTTACTCGATGTATTTGTATTGTAATACAGTTGTAAATATCTTGAATAAATAGTTAGATGTTTTCCTTAAGGTAGTTAGAATTTTTATTGAATAATAGGAATTGCTCAAAAACTGTTTAAGATAATTAAATTTTGCTTACGCCATAAGTTATTAATAATAAAAGGGGCTTTCAGGAGGTCTGATACGGCCATTGTACAGCACGGGCGGATCTACGGGGGGAGGGAGGAGCTTTCGGGCTGAAGCCCCCCCAAAATGGGAAAATATAACTATTTTTTATCGAAACAAATATTAAAAAATTATCTCTTAAAGTATTATTATTCCTGTAATTACATTTAATAGGGCTTTAGGAATTACTTAAAACACCATTTCATATAGGTAGTTAGTTTCTTTCTTATTTTCCAAAGTAATTATCGTTATTTTTAAGAAAAAAAAAGCTGTCGGGCTGAGGCCCCTTCCAAAATTAAATCCTGGATCTGCTAGTGTTGTACACAGATATGCTGCTCATGTAAGAGTACTCTGAATGCAGCAGTATATCGGCCCTATTAGACTTCCATAAAGTATTTTTTGTTATTGACTTTACTAAATTTAATCCCGTTTTTCTCAAAACAACAAAATTAATTTGTCTACTTTACGATGGTGTTGTAAAAATTTAATTATCTCGAACAGTTTTTGTACAGTTCATTTTTATTCAATAAAAAACGTGACCAACTTAAGAAAAACACAAAATTGTTCTTAACTGCATCAAATGAACTTTTTTGTTATAATACCTCCCCCCCCCAGAATTTTTTCATAACTGAGACACCTTGTATATTAAAAATATTTTTTAAATATTTACAATATAACCAAAAAAACCTTCGTAGGCCAGATCGAAGGTGTTTGCGGGCTTTAGTTTAGATACCTATGATTTAAATCATGTTTAGTCTTGTATATACCAAGTTGTAAATCAATTAACATAGTGTCTAAACTCCATTAGTAATGATCGGTTATAACAACATTGTTAGCAATAAAAAACGCTGCAAATTATTTCACAATGGTTGATTATTTCCAAACAATTATACATCTAAAGTAACATTACATTCCTAGTTACAAAGAAAAATAAACAAAAGGTGATTCCAATTATTGGACTAAACTTTTTTTTTAATCATTAGTAATATGCTAAAAAAAAACAAAAAACCGCATTACTTCAGTAACACATTCAAAATTTAAAAACCAAACCAAGGATATAACATTTGGCGTAGAACATATTAAAAAAACCGGAGACCATATCTTTACTCCTAATTGTCCGATTTTAACAATTTTTTTTTTGTTTTTTAGGAAATTTCGTAAACTTTTAAAAAACCATATACAATATCATAGTTTATAATATAAAGTTTTATTAAAATCTGTACATTCGTTTAGGAGCTACAGTCTATAGCAACGCAGGTTTTTCGGCCGCTATTTTGGAAGTAAAAGGCGGTTAGTAATGTCGATTAAGGAGGATCATCCTCGGTTGACCTCTGATTTTATATACAAATTTGAAAAAAATCGGTCCAGTAGTTTCGGAGAAAATGCGCGGACGGCGTACGGCCAAAAAAATGAAACGCGAAACCTCAAATTTTGAGAGGGGGTTAAGTTTTTGAATTTTTTGGTCGATCGCAATGTTTGATTATTGAAAATAATAAACCAAAATGAAGTGGTTTCAAAAGGTTGTATGTGTCTCTGCAAATATTTAAGTATCATGAAAGTAATCAATGCTTTAATGATTTTATCTGTTATTTTCACGGGAATAAGAAGATCGAATTGACCTCATAGATTATTTGTTTTCTAATTTCATTGCAGAGAATCTTCTATAAAACAAAAGTCACGTAATTGTAAATTAAAACAGCCCCATTAACTCCTTTACTTACTCGCTCAATCAACACTTTAATGGGTTTTCCGTTAACGTTTAAGAGAAGATCATCAAACTGCCTGAAAGGAGATCTCCTTCATTAATTTGGATAAAATTATTCTTTTAACTGCTGTTGAATGTTCCGTCAAAAAGGACTACTTTTATGAAACTCAATTGACTCCTTCTAGCCAATTTACTTGCAGAAACGCTTTTATTAAACAATTACGTTATTGTAAATTAAAACAGCCACGTCAACTCCTTTACTTACTTGATCCTCAATCGATACTTTAATGTTTTTCGTTTTTAAAGAGATTAACATCATATTGGCTGAAGGAGTTGTCCTTCATTGAGTTTAAGAAAATTATTATTCTAAATTCACTTGAACGTTTCGTCAAAAAGGAATACTTTTATGAAACTCAATAATAAAAGAATCCTTTCTACGAGGGGCTTACGAGCTGAACCGTACTCAAATAATAACAACACGCTATATTCGTTTATTATTTTCAATAATGAACCATTGCATTCGTCAAAAATATTCAAAAACTTAACCCCCTCCCCCCTCAAAATTTGAGGTTTAACGGTTTAAGATTCGTTGAACTCAAAAATCGAATACAAAAACTCCTCAAATTTAGTGAGACTTTTATCTTGAAAAATTAACTAAATAATCGGAATTTGTATTATTATTATTTTATCTGATAATTTAATAGTATTAAATAATTAATTTTTATTTATAATTTGTACTAAAAAACAAGGAATAATTTAAAAAATATTTATATTAATACACTGAAAATTCTTGAATCGTTGGCGAAATATTTGGAGAATGCAGCTGAAAGTAGTTGCTAAATTGTTTCGATACCTTGAAAACTATTTTAAATTGAATTCGTGGAGGAAATTATGCAAAAAATGTAGTGTTTTAGGTTCATAGGCGTCAATTATCAAAAAAAAGTAATTGTGAAACCCAATTTTATTGCACAATACTAAACGAAACAAAAAAATTAAAATACACTTCTTTTCATGTATATATATATATATATATATATATATATATATATATATATATATATATATATATATATATATATATATATATATATATATAGGGAAAGGTGTCCTACAAAAATATTGGACCGTTTGGACCGTTGGCCTATATAACCTCGTTATTTTGGGAGTGTAGGTCACCCTAAATGGCTCAGTACTTTTGAAAGCCTCCTTTTCTTCTCGATTTTGTGCTCAAATTATTTTACGATTGAAGGAGAAAGCTAATGGTTATTTACGAGCTATTAGTATTTAATTAAATAGACAAAACCGTACTCCAGATTAAAAATGCACCAATTCCGAGCATTTTCATAACTTGAGCATAAAGTCAAGAAAAAAAGGTAGCCTTCAAAAATATTGAGCCGTTTGGCCTATATAATCTCGTTATTTTGACAATTTGGGAGTGTAGGTCACGCCAAACGGCTCAATATTTTTGAAAGGTCACCTTTTTTCTTGAGTTTGTGCTCAAGTTATCTTACGATTCAAGTGGAAAGCAAATTGGTATTTACGAGTTTTTAGTACCCAAATAAATAGACAAAGTTTTCCGACCTCCATACTTTATTTATGGTTAACATAAAATCACAAATTTTGATGGGGAGGAGGGGGTTAAGTTTATGAACTTTTTACGAATACAATGGTTCATGGTTCATTATTGAAAATAATAAACGAATATAGCGTGTTGCACTAGCGGATCCAGGATTTAATTTTGGAGGGGGGCTTCAGCCCGAAACCTTTTTTTTTTTTTTTTTATAAAAATAACGATAATTACAATATTACTCAATTCTTCTTCGGTGCATACTATTATGGTATAAAAATAAAAAGTTAATTATAAATGACAATAGTGACAAACAGATTATTGATATTAGCGATGATAGGAGCGAGAAAGTGAAGCAAAATATTAATAAAGAACCGAATTTAATAACAAATTATTTTAAAACTGAAAATGCAGTAAAACAAAAACCTTCCATGAACGATATACATGACATTAAGACACAAATTGAAAAATGTAATGGGAACAAACAACAACCTAAAAAATATTTTAGCGTCTCATATATTAGAAACTTAACTGATAAAATTGAAAGAACATTTAAACAATACGATATAAATGAAATTAAATTTGCAAGCAAACCAATTAATAAATTAGATACAATTTATTCGAAAACTAAAGATAAAGTACCTATCGATAAATTAACGAATATTATTTATAAAATAAATTGTAAAAATTGCAACAACAAAGCATATTTTGGACAGACATCCCAATGGTTTGAAAAAAGGCTTAAACAGCATAAACAAAATTGTAATTCAAAAAACACAAAAATTAAATTAGCTACTGGACTCTCTCAACATAATATGCAAACTAAACATGAATTTGATTTCAAAAATGCCAAAATCCTACATAATGAAAGAAATACGAATAAACGTAGAATTAAAGAAGCAATATACATAACTAAAAACTTAAAAAACTCAGTAAATAATCATACAGACGTGGATAATATGAATACTTTTTATGCTAGTTCAATTGAAAAAATCAAAATTTGAAATAAATCAGCTAATATTACTTAAAATAGATCCACATGTAATATTGAGTAACAGCATTATATATGTTCATAATAAATAGTCTTCCCCTACTCCTATAAGAATAACCAGTCACTGAATAGAAATGAGATGGATGACATGTGGGTGACTCAGAAACAAGTTAAATTTAACTTATTTTGAATCATTTAATAGTAAAGAATTGAGTAATAATAATGTTGTTAAATAATTAAAGGTGAACATGACAATATTAAGGAATTTTATTATGAGTAGACGCTTGCAATTCGCATAAGTGAAAATGACAGGTACATGATGTGTATTTTAGGTACATAATAAGAATCTTTATAATTTGAAATATGTTAAAGTTAATATATGATTGTAAATGAAAATTTTTTTAGACTTGAAAATGGCTCGACGAGCCGAAACGTCGTCATTGTGATGAGTAGTCATAAGTGACAAAAATTTTTTTTTTTTAAATTGGTGTAAATATGGCTAATAATAAATTAACTTGAAAACGATAATTACTTTGGAAAACAGAAAGAAACTAACTACCTATATGAAATGGTGTTTAAGTTATTCCTTAAGTATTTTAAAATGTAATTACACGAACAATAATACTTTAAGAGGTATTTTTAAAAAAAATTTCCCCATAAAACATGGTTATATTTTTCCATTTTGGGGGGGGAGGCTTCAGCCCGAAAGCCCTCCCTCCCCCCTGTAGATCCGCCCGTGGCGTGTTGTTATTATTTGAGTATGGTTCAGCCCCTCGTAGATCCTAGATAGTATTGAAAGGATTCCTTTATGATTGAGTTTCATAAAAGTATTCCTTTTTGATGAAACGTTCAAGCGGATTTAGAGTAATAATTTTAATTAACTCAATGAAGGAGAACTCCTTCAGCCAATATGGTGTTAATCTCTTTTAAAAACGAAAAAAAATTAGGAAGATATCCATACTAAAACCCCCCATTCCAAGAAATTCCGTAAATAAAATAGTTGTAGGTTACGATGAGATGAAGCTATTTACGGATGAAGCCATTTACGAAGTTTCAGGCGGATCTTAATAATTTGATAAAAAGGGTTCTGTACCACGTACTATAGAGCCATTGATACAATATCACAGGTACTCAAGGTCACAAGATCACAGGTACACAGGTACACTGCCTTAAAGAGAGAACTCGAGACATTAAAAAATGCCGGGACCCCGCTTTCGTTTTCTCTTTCACGAGTCCCCACTTCTAGCTACACAGCCAGTTCAGTTCTCATCTCCCTCCGAACAAGTACGGTGTACACAGTGGGTACCTCATCCATCACGTCCCAAGTGAGTAAATCCATTATATATATGCTTTGCCTCTTTACTGTTTGTGATATCTAGGTGATTTCATAGCTACAGAAAGATAAAAAAAAATATTTATTTTATCTAAACCTCAATTATATACTTAAAATGTAATAATAGCGGATTTTTTTTTAAATCGTTCTCTTTAACGCCTTTGACATATAAGTCGCATCAGAGAAAAACGTTTATTTCTATTTACAACATAATTTTGAGATAGTCTATTTCACACACAATTAAAAAAACATTATACTACACCATGGCTGTTATTAAATAAATTAAATAATAAATAAATAAAATAATTTATATAATAAGTCATTAGTTTGTCCCATTGAAAATATCTCTCCAGTTTAATAGTTAACCAACAAGATGCAGCTATCCCTCAAGTTATACTCATCGATTATTCTACTAGATCAAGACCTATTTGTTTGGTCCAGAAGAGTCTTGGTCTGTTGTTCTCTCAATTACTCAGAGTATAAAGTCATTCCTGGATATTTTTAAAAATTAAATATATCAAAATGTTTTTGATTGCCATTGCAAAATTCTGTATTATCGGAAGTCCTACTGTATTTTAACATCTAAAAAAACAAAATATGTTCGTGCATTAAGTTCTAGGATTCATGTGTTGATGGTTTCATCGAATCCCCTGAAGCAGAATGCATCCCATTTCGAATCGTCGATTTTCGAAATCATCTGATTTTTCAAAATGATTTTGTTTATAGTACTTGTCGTCACGTCTCTATGAAATTCATTTTCGTTTGAATCACCATTTAAAAGCTCCTGATAGCCGAAAAACAAAGTATAGGCTATTTTAAAATAAAAAACATAAAAGAGAAGAATGGTTGTTGTGATTAATAAAAAAAAAAAATAAATATTAGTAGAAAAAGGCCTTTTCAGTCTCGGTAAATAATTACTTTATTTCAAATTTACTTTATTCTGGTTTCAGTTTTAGTCATGTAGTATTTAAATATTTTAATGTTGCGAACGCCTCTCCTATTTGAAGGATTGGCCTCATTCGGTTGTGTTCTTTGACTAAGTGTACAAGTGGGTGCACTGCTATAAGCAAGTACTATCGGATCCAGGATTTAATTTTGGGGGGGGGGCTTCAGCCCGAAATTTTTGTTTTTTTAATAAAAATGATGATAATTACTTTGGAAAAAGAGAAAGAAACTAACTATCTATATGAAATGGTGTTTAAGTGATTCCTAAAGTCCTTTTAAATGTAATTACAATAACAATAATACTTGAAGAGATATTTTTTAAATATTTTTTTCCATAAAACATGGTTATATTTTACCATTTTTGGAGGGAAGGGCTTCAGCCCGAAAGCTCCCCTCCCCCGTAGATCCGCCCGTGTAAGCAAGAAAGTTTATAACCGAGGACAGCGGTCGAAAAAAAACCCAGAAAAAAACCTTTTAATTTAAGTAAGGTATTTGAAAACCGGAATTTATCATGTTACAATAAATTAATAAATTAATGTCCAATAAAACCATTTTGGTAAAACCAACCGTTATTATTATTGTTATTTTTTTTTTACAAAAATAAAAAAAATATATTTTGCATGTAATATGTTGCAAAAATGAAAATTTATAAGATTATTGCCCGAATCAAGAGAACTAAGATATGAAGAGGACATAATGGTAAGAAAAGAAGAGCAAATCAAGCTACAACTAAATGAAGATAAAACCAAATCCATGGAATGGTGAGCTGAAAACATTACCCCAGTATCAAATATGAGTCACGAAATTGTTTGAATTTCTCTTCAATCTTTTTCTTCGTATTTTTTTTAAGTTTTTTGTTTCTATACTTCCGGATGTTTCTATAACGGAAAGGAGTAAATTATATTAGATATAAATTTATTTAGATACAGGTAGGAATTTTTTCTTGCTCGTTTTTGATGTATGTTTCTTGACTGAATTTCCCAGATAATTACCAAAATCTCAAATTATCGCAGATGATTTTTGTATTCATCATTAGCTCAGAGTTCAAAGAATATTTGAATTATAGGAAGACCTTGGCGGTCGTTGGCTCGAATCCGAAATTCCAGGATCCGTTGAGTGATAACTAATTTGAATTTATTAAGAAATAACTTATTTAAGAAGTTATCTGACTCAATTAAACAAATTACACAGCAAAAAATATGTTGAGAATTCAGCAAAAATGTTTAAAATATATTTAATGATTTTATTATTTATGATTAAGTTACATTATTAATATGGTATAAATTGTTTTTTTTATTGAAAATCTCGGAAACTAGTATTTTTATTCGTGCCTAAACTTCAGGAATATATGAATTAACTATCTCAGACATTGAAAACATAGAAATTTCAATTATCATAACACCTTGAAAAGACAGTTTTTTTTTTGTTGTTCTCAGACCACTGTGAAATGTGTTAGAGAGGCGAAAAGAGCAAAAATAGTGTAGAAACCAAATGATAACGAGTTTTATGGAAGAAATGGATTAAACTCTTTCAGAAACTAAAAATCGGACCAACATTCTGTAAGCGAATGAAGTGTTCAGCATTTTGTCCTTTTTGTAATGAACTATTATTTATAATTTGTATTTCATATTATTAATCTCACATTGTTGATATTTTCACTGCTATCGTGTGGTGAAGCACACACCTTGGTTTTTTATTCATTAAAAATATTCAAGTTTCTTTCTATATTATCCGAAATACCTATTGTCCCTCATTTATTTTTTGATTAAATTTTTAGTTCACCAAAACACCAACTTAAAAAACAATATTTTAAATTTTAAAACCTGAGTACGTCATAAGTATCCCAAGGTAATCATAATAATTAACTAAATATAACTATTTTTCCTGAAAAAAATATAAAAAAATCATCTCTAAAAATTTTATTGTTCGTTAAATTAGATTTTTAATAGGACATCAAGAATCGTTTAAACGCCATTACAAATAGGTAGTTAGTTTGTTATTCTTTATAAAATCACATAATTTTTTTACACAACTTGAAGTGAATCATAGGTTTTTCCTTAATAAATCCAAACTTAATTAATATGAATTTAAAAATTATGAAACGAGGAAGTATTTCTGAAAGTGGTATCTATAATATAGTTGGAAGATTATAAAAAAAACCACTAATCGCTAATAATTCATGTTTTTTTTTTAAAACATAACTTAATTCAAACGCTCATAAGCCTTTATAAAATGATTTTAACAATGACAAATTTTATTTTCATTCGAATTAAATTTTGCCTAGTTTACAGTAAAGCAATTGAAAATAACTTTAATTAAATATTTCTTTATTTATCGCTTCCCATTCAACAACAAACATGACATATTATGCGCACCACTGACGAACATAGCTAAAAATTGTTTGTCTTTTTTGGCTTATACCGCCGTAATTATTGTTATAAACTTCTCCGTTGTACATTTAGAATCTCTAGGGTCTTCTTTTTCTATTTAATACTTTAAAATTGAAAAAAAAATATTCGGTTATGCAAGCATAATCTCCATTAAAAAAAACACCGTTTTGCTTTAATGATTAATACCACGAAATTCAATTGTTATAGAAATGGACAGGAGGTCGGTACCAGTAATAGATATGCCTCAGAAAAATTCTAAAATCATTATTTAACTATAAAGACAAGATAAGATAAATGTTCAACTTACTCTTAGCAAATCTGTTAGTAGAAATGTATGAAACACACTGATCTCAAGAGCAATGATAGGCAGTTTAAAATTGTCTTTTTGGAACTTTGTTCATACAGTTCTCAATAGATGGCATTGTTCTTCAATAAACAAAAAACTGGAACCTTTAATTCAACAAGGAAGCTTATTATTTACATTTAAATTCCGACCTGTACATTGCTAACTAGGCCCCCTGACCATAACTGGTGCGTTCAAACAAATTTAATTTTCCTTCGTTTCTTCCGAAAATCGGTCCAATCTTTATATGAGCTGTTTTTTACGGTATTAATTCCCTCAACTTATGGGACACCATATGTATATATATATATATATATATATATATATATATATATATATATATATATATATATATATATATATATAATTCTTTCGGGCTGAACCCCTCTCTCAAAAAAAAAAAATTAAATACTGAATCCGCTATTGCTACAACCTAACTGTGACCTAATAATTTCCTCTTTCCGAGTCGCAACTGCAGCTATTGTTTTTACAAAATGAATAACTGTACTACCGCACAATATAATATTAATTATATAATATTTCTATTTATTTTAAAAAGCCTATATATATATATATATATATATATATAATATATATATATATATATATATATATATATATATATATTTATATTTATAAATGACATATGACGATAAATTTCTCTTTAAAAACCATAATAATTTAAAACGATCATGAAGTGGTGAAGGTGACTGAATGACTTCTTTGTAACATTAATAACAAATTAAAATTATAATAAATAAGTTTGTAAGTTCGTTATTTAATTTAGAGATTGGTTCTGAAAGCAATATTAAATCATGCCTATACCATCTTAAACATTTCGAGCTTAATTAATTTTTTTCAAAAAATATGAGTTTTTCAGAAAAAAACCTAAGAATTGTGAAGGGTATGTTTTTTAATTGAATGATTACTTCATTTGAAAAAAAATATATCGACAAATTTTACTCCAAACAGATAGTTTTTTGTTTACTTGTGATTTTCCTTTTGTGTATTTATTTAATTAATTAAATAAAGAATACAATTTTAATAACGATTGATCATAGCTAATAAGAGAATAAACATTTTAAAAAACCTAGGAAAATTAAATATTAAATATTTCAATCAAGCGTCTAACTTGGAATCCTCATACCAGACTGAAACGACAAGAAACCGCTCGACGTTTCCGACTACTCCAACACTTACTAGACAAACGCTCTAAGCTTCCAGTTAATTACAAAAGACTCATATACATGACTACAAAAGACCTATTTGGACTTACGGAGTTGAGCTTTGGGGCTCCACTAAGCCATCGAATTCCTCTCGTATCCAATCCTCCACAAGCCAATTCTCAATGCTCCTTACTTTGTCACCAATAAAATAATCCATAATGACCTTAATGTTCCTTATGTTTCCGATTTGGCCCAATCCAGATACCAATCCTTCCATAATAAACTTCAGAACCATCCGAATCCTCTCGTTTCTAACCTTGCTTCTTCTTCTATTCCTGATAACCCTCTGAGGCGTCTGAAAAGAAGATGGCCTCGAGATCTCTTATTGTAAATACATTTTGTTTTTAGAGTGATACCAGTGGGTAGATTTTCTGTTATCAAATTTACTTAATGTATTTAATTTTTTAATACACTTGTAAATATCATGAATAAATAAAAAATATTTCAATAAAAATTAGACATTCACAATCCTTCATTTTACTGACCTATCGGTCTTCTTCCAATTTGTTCCGAAGTTTTCGAAAAACTAATATATAACCGGTTGACATACTGACGGACCGACGGATAATACCTGACCATCAGTTCGGCTTTCACACATTTCATTCAACTACGTACCAATTACACGGAGTTACTGACTACATTGCTGGAGCGCTAGAGCAAAAACAATATGCAACCGGCGTGTTTCTGGATGTTGTCCAGGCATTTGATAAAGTCACCAGGGACTTCTTTTCAAACTCAAAAGTATACTACCTAATACATACTATCTCATTCTTCAGTGTTTCCGTTTTGACAGATTTTTGTTATTTGTTTGACAAAACACCCCAACGAACTTCTAATCAATATATCTATGACAATTAATTATTAACCCACTATCACACACACGCATATATATATATATATATATATATATATATATATATATATATGTTTTTTTTTTATCATTATTTTTTTTCGTAGTGCATTATTTATTTTTCTGCCTAGGTTCAAGTCCTGAAATTCTTCTTCTTTCTGCTATTTACATTTTAAAGAGAGCTATGTAGAAATTATTATTGTTGTAAATGTACATAATTTCTGTATAATAATTAGCTGATTGTAGTGTTGTCGAAATATGAGACCGAGACGAGTCTTGGTCTTGCAAACTCAGTCTTGGTCATGGTCTTGGTCTTGCGCAAGAGTCTCCAACAGTCTTGCAGTAACTTATTAGCTTATTACTATAGAGATATCAATGTAATTTTTTAAATAGGAGAAACCTAACTAAGCCGGAATAAAAAATTAGAGAAGTTAAATGCAAAAGTAATATTGGTTATACCAATTATTTACACATAGTAACTAAGATTGTCAAGTATTAGTAACTATTTTAGCTCAATTTTTTATTTTAAAAAATAGATTATTTTTTACCAGTCCTGGTCTTGGTCCTGCAACAGTAAAGCGGCCTTGGTCTTGGTCTTGCAAAGTGCAAGACCAAGACTGATTTTGGGGTCTTTCTTTTAAACCTTTATAATATTCGTATTTTTATTATGAAATTTCTGATTAAAATGTTTTTGAGAGATCTTTTATTATGGAAGTTCTAACGTATGTGTTCTCGGAATTTTTTCGAAATTCTGATATCAATCGATAAATCGCAAGCGTTTTGCAATAATAACGGTAAATATTACGTAATAAAAATGAGTAACTGTTATTTGTAACAAGAAGCATTTATCATTTATACGAATGTTATGCGCTTTACCTGTAGATAACAGCAGGTAATTGCTGATAAGGAACTAATATTTTTAATCTTGTAATTTAACGATTATTATCCTGGCATGCTTTATTTGAAATTTTATTGATTGCTTCAAACTTATTTCTAACCTCGCTGAAGGCATTCTTTCGGTTAATGAATAAAATTTTTCTAGTATACCAATTAGAAATATCATATTATTGGGTTAGCAAACAAGTCCTTGCGGTTTTTCAGGGTGAAATACAACTCAATGTATTATAGACAAAAATTTTAATTTTCTAGTCCCATCCTTCGGGTTTGGTGCAATTTTCTCATAATCTAACATATGTCTATTATAGGCCATAGGTCACCAAAAAAAACACAGTTTTTTTTATATATTACATGTATGTTTATTCGGCTTCAGGAGCCATTTTCAAGAACCTGCAACATGCACCGCGCCATAAAATTTTTAAAAATTTGTCATTACGATATGATTCGTCGTAATTCATTCTTTTATTTCAAAGAATGACGTTTTCCGTTTCTCTATTTGCAGACGGTATCAAGAAAGTATTGTTCTTCAATAGGGCATTCATACTTAAAATTTTATTTTAATCTACAATATATTGACCATTATTTAATATGATTTTTTTACCATCTTTCCACTAACTGCATAATGCCATGTTCAAAGAATTTCTGAAGTTTATTATTAAAAAACTAATCCAAGTTATTATTGCTAGCGTTGTCTTGGTGGAACACAACACCCTTCCGATCATTCATAACCCATCAGGATGATCTCCAAATTCGATGTTACTATATCCGTTTTAAAGCTGAATTAATGTTCTTCAAAGCCGTATGAATGTTTTTTTTATTTAATGCCTACATAAGGAATTAATAGACAAACACTCCTTAAAGGTTTTCTCAATTTGTAGTTTGTTGAAGTCCTCCATGTCCCGCAAAATGGTCTCTGTGTGTGTCAACAGTAGCTCAAAAATGAAAATTCGTACGAAAATGAAATTGCATATTTAAAGGTTTTATATACCTGGAATGTTACAGCAACGTTTTCGTCAAAATAGGCTAATCGAAAGTGGCATTTTATATCATCGATTTGGTACATTTTTACGATTTTCTCGAAAACAGTTTTAACCATTTCGATTAAATTCATTATATCAGTGTAATATTAATCAGTTTTTAATATAACTTAGGTTTTATTCTCTTTGCTGTTCTTTAGCAGGTCTTAAATGCATTATTTTAAATATTATCTATCTCCTAAAGTACCTTTATTTTATTATTTGAAACAATTAATCACCTCACGTTGATCTCTGATAAAAAAATAGTTAAATATAAAATATGAAAGAATTTGATAATGAACTAAAGGAGAAATAAGTGATCGTAACCGAGAATATTTGGAATAGAGGAATCAAAGGAATACGAGAGCGCCTGAACTCACCCGAAAGATTAGAACAGGATTTCATACGTAACATGAGCTTAATATGATACGAACTCCAGCAATATTATGTACGTACAGATTTGCGGTTTTCATAAATTCTATCGCTGGTATTATTTAATATTTAATTGTTTAGATTACAGCGACATAAATATGCAAGAAACTGGTTCACTCATTCGTATCATTCACTTCATTCAGAGGTGTCATTATATGGTCTCTCTCCCCAAGATCGATGGCGCATGAACCTAAACCCCTCTCCACTCCCAAGATACTTTATTGCTCTCCTCTTCTTGAAAACCCTACAAGCCAAATTATTGGACGAGGCAAGGTTGGCAGAGAACATAATCCTTGACTCCCTGAGAATTATCCATCACCATGTGCATGGATAGAGAGTTTGTTCATGGGGGGAGGCATGCGTGTTTTACAGCATTTTTACATTATTTATTGACCACGTCCACTGCACTTTATGTTTTTGTATGCATGTTATGAATTAGGTTAGGAAAAGAGAGGAGAAAATCTAGGAAACGAGAAAAATGTATAGAGTGAGAGAAGGAACAGAAAGGGATGTATAGTGCTAATAAATGAATTAAAGAAATAGTAAAAATAAAATAAATAAATAAATAAAAATATAGAAAAACAATTATGATAAAAAAAATATATATATATAGATAAAAAAAAAATTGTATATTATGCTCATATTATGATTGTTAATACTATATAATTTTATATTAGTTTTGGAAAATTGTCTGTAGCGATTAATAAGTATGCTGTGTTTAAAGCAACCCAATGTAATTGGGCAGCACCCTTTTATGATAATAAAGTGATTCTCTCTCTCCTTTTTTTCTGTATTCTTGTGGTTAGTTTCATGTTTTCCCATGGTCCTTTTTGGAACTTCATTCCGAAAATGAACAATTTCATTAAAATTTGACCTCCTCAAAAATCCAAAATCTCGTCAAAATGTGTCCATATGAAAATGTTGATGGCGTAATTTAGTGCAATATATTATGAGGTATAGGAAATAATTATCTTTTTCTCAGTCTAATCACATTCCTTCATTCCAAACAATAAACTGAAACATGTGCTCATTAATATAGGCTGTATCTTTCCTAATAATTGTCCAATTTCGATGATTTTTGTTTTTTTCGTAAAGGAGTTCTACTTGAAATCCCTTTTCGTTTAATACCTCATTCATCAAAATCTATCACTTCTGAGAATCGATAAAGTGATATACACTGCGAAAAACTATACTGTATTATATATAAAGATGAATAAGAAAAATAACAATGATTACATTGAGTTTAAATATAAAAACCTGTACCACTACAACCCATGAAGGGTCAGGGGTTCAGTACTATTTAGGGAAAGCACTGTTTTTAGGTCAACGGTTGTGCAAGGAGGTGATTTGACCGAGATCACGCTCAACCGCCTGGTTTAAATATATATATTTAAAATTTAAATATATATATATATATATATATATATATACTACGGTAGGATAGGTAAATCGATACATATGTCGATGTTGCGAAGCCTAGACCGTTGTGCACGAGGATCCGATGTCGCAAACTTTCTCCATAGGCGGCCGTTGAGCGAATCCTCTGAGGCGAAGGCGTTCTGCAAGGACACGTGTCCTTCGGATTGCTATTGTTGTGCAACTCATATAGGATCCTGTATAATTTAGGTATCCTAATTAATCGATGTGTGTAGACAATAACTCGATTATAAGCTGGCCTTCAAGGTTCGGTTGTTCTTGCGGACGTTAGTTATGCCTCTTAAGAAATTATCGATAGCCAACGATAAATGAAATACATCCTTTTATTGCAAGGATGTATAGATAATATATATCTATACCGCCTTTGAAGATCTTTTTCGCCTTAACAAGTCTGCTCCATGCTCCATCTCTGACTATTGCTTTCCAGTTATTTGCATGCATCTTTCTTAATTCCTTCTATAATTTTTAGTTTTTGTCCTTTCACGACGTCTTTTGCCTTCTATTGAGACATTCATATAAAGGCTTCCTGATGAATAAATCCGAGCAGCTTGCCCCGCCCATTTTGACCTCTTTGCCTTCATATCATGGGATATTGATTGATCAGTTTCTGTAAGCTGCTCTTTCTCAGGTCTCATTCTTGCGTTAGTATTCTAATCCTCACTCCGGTTATCGTGCGGAAGTATTCTCTCAAACCTTTCAACACTTTTTTCTAGAATGCTGGTTTGTTTCCAGGTCTCACGCCATATTTTAGAACTGCCTTTGTTACCCTTAATTTGAGGTTTCTCGATATTTTTCGGGATTCGGACAGCTTTTGAATGAGAGGGAAAATCTCTTTTATATACAGGATATTTGGAGAGAGATTTAAGCAGTTTTTACTTGTATTTGTATCTGGTAAATTCAAATTTACTGTATTGGGTTTAAAGTGTAATAAAACTCTTCAACTTCAAAAGCCCACTAATATTATTTTTGCATTTGGTAGAGAATTGTATTTTATTTTTATTAATATATGCTTGTATTGGTGTATTTAGAGAGAGATTTTAGCTACACGTAGTTTAATATATTTTTTTCACAACTTTGAAAATTTATGTTTAAGAATTTTTTTATACATGAAGAAAAATTATAATGCTAAAAATTATGGTATTAGCAGATTTAGTATTAAATTAATGAAAAATGAATACATTTTGAAAAATCTTTGTCTATAAATATTGGTTTTATGAAGGAAAACATAACAGGTATGTACTTGTTTTGAGCTCAAAATATCTTCTCAACTTAAAATATTTCAAAAGCTTAAATGCCCATAATCATACAACTAATCGTTAAAATTTGGATATTTTTACTTACTTTTGTATTCACTTAATATTTACAAATTTTCTTTTGTAATTTGCAATCATTTGTCAGGGTTACGGGCCCTGGATGATTTGACATGGAGTGACCATGTAATTGCCCGAGAGATGGATCTGCATTAATATTCTGGTATATCCGGCATCAACAGATACTGGGAGATTTAAGCATTGTTAAAAACAGATTGAAATGTTCGCTGTATGCTGAACTATGCAATGTTTTCTATTTCGTTTTTATATTTTCTAAAATTTATTAAAAAATCATAAAAGAAAATTGTGGCCCTAGTTGTCAATTGTCTAGTTGTAAAATTGTGTCATAGCCATTCATTTGGATGAGTAAAATTAGGCTTGTCAAGGGTTTGACCTACTCCTATCCTCGGTACAAGGATCAATATTCCTTTTCCTGAATTTTATTTTTATTATTATTTATTATTAATTGTTGACATAATGTGCTATTTGCATCTGCTCTGGAGCACACCCAGCAAATTTGATATATTAGGAATTAGTTATGAGTTTTCTTGATTAGCTTCATTTTGTATTTAATGTAGTAGGTACCACTGCCATTTTCTTTTTAATCTGCGTCGATCAGGTAACAGGGACCAAATAGAAAGGACTAATGGATTGAACTCTTTTAGAATTGAAGAGTGCCGTGGATGTAGAATTTTACAGTTGAGATGTTCAAGTCGTTATGAATAGTGTTATTTGAAATGTTTCAAGATGCGTTGACAATTTTTCGTAGAATTTTTTAGATAGATAGATAGATAGAAAAAAAAACTTTATTCTGGGACTAAGTCCCTTCAGAATAACAATAATGTACAAAATAATAGAATATTACTGGCCTGAACGTTGAAACAATAGATAAAATTGATAAAATAAAATAAAAAGTAAAGAAAACCTTAGGTGCACAAGCTATATACAAACAGAAAAAACTATGTACAGAGCATTTAAAATTATGAACAAAACAATTAAAACTATGAACGAATCACTTGAACTATGAACAAAATTATATTTAAGGGTTGAACAACATAAACATACACTTTGAGAAATGAAGAACGAAAAAGAGATACAATGAGTTCATTTCATAAAAAAAAAAAAAAAAAAAAAAAACTTTACTTGAATATATATATATAAAAATAAACAGTTACTTATAATTGAATAAAAAAAAAAAGTGTATGTATTGAAATTCCTACGTCGATAGTAGGAAATGTATGTACTATCTCTTACCAAGTGTTATGATTATATGATTGCTACACAATACATATATAATATCAATAGTTAGCTGGTATCAGACTGTTTTTGGAACAGGAATTGGAATAGGAGGTTTTTGAATGTATACAGGGAAGGGGCATGTCGAATATTGATCGGGAGGGAATTCCAAAAGTTGACAGAGCGGGCTATAAAGGAATTTTGGAATGAGGCAGATCTATGAGAAGGGATGTATAGGTCAGAGGGTCGGGATCAAAGGACAAGCTGTTGTTTGTTTGTTTTTTGTTTATGTGTGTTTGTTTTGCCGAACCCCAAAGTTCTGCTCCGTCCAAATTGGTCTCAGTATGGTGTTAAAGATCAGTCGCTTGTTTCGTAAGTTGAGTGAGGATGTGTAATCTAGAAGATGTGATTGACTTATACTGATTATATTGACTAATCAGTTCTTGTCTTTTTAATTTAGTATGTATGTTGCAGGTAAGCCTTTTGTCTAAGTAGAGTCCGAGGTACGGTATATAGTTTTTTTGAAGGCACTGGGGATATTGTTAATGGGTGGACATGAGGTTTTCCTAAGAAAGTAAGTCACGTGTATAGATCTGTTACTATTGATTTTAATTTTACATTTTGCAAACCAAATTGAAGATCATAGAGATGGTTTAGAAATGCAAATCATGCGATAGTAGGATTTTTGTGGGAAGATAGAAATGCAATGTCGTCAGCAAAACAATAGATTGTGGTGTTAGGATGCTTAGGAATATCAGAGAGGTATAGCGAATAGAGAATTGGACTTAAGACGCTACCTTGCGGTACACGAATGTATTGAGGGAAGAAAGAAGAGTCAGAAGAATCAACGGAACACTGAAAAACTTGTTAAGAAAGAAGGATTGAAGAATTTAACAAAGTAAAACTTTGAAACAAAATCCAATCACAAATAATCCATAGGCCTCGAAAATCCTCTTACTCTACTTTATCTGAAAAATAATAAAATAAGTTATACAGTTTGAATACCGTTTTCACTAAACGATACGATATTATTATAATGTGCGGTTGTATTATATTATAATATCCGTCAATATGCCTCCAGAAATTGTCTTTGGTGATATCTGCGGTCTAGTAAGCGGCACGTCTACAACCCACAGTTCGAACATTATTGGAAAAAAAACAATTTAAGGAACAGTGATTTAACTCATTTAATTTTGGTTTGACATACATTCTCAAACTGTCTCCCATGTTCAAAATTTAAGATTGGAATTTAAGCGGTACACAAACCCTCATCATTGACTTCATTTAAGAACCAATTGTTTCCCCATCTTCTCAACCAAAAGTCTTCCAAATATTTATAAGAATTAATTATGTTTCCAATATGATTCTAATGTTAATTCAAAAATATTATTTATTATGCAAATAAGTAAACACACAAATATCAATTCACATATAATTCATCGTATTATATATATGTTTGACTGGGTGGGACAACATCCGTGCTGGGCTATGCTGATGATCTGGTACTGTTAAGCGAAGACGTTGAAACTATAAAACTAAATACGACAACGTTAATGAAAGCTGGTAAAAAAATAGGACTCAAAATAAACGTGGATAAAACAAGATATATGGTTAGCTGCAAAAATGGCGATACTACTGGTGATATCGATATAGACGGTAATACGTTTGAACAGGTACATAAATTTAGGTATCTAGGTTCTACGATAACTAGAAAAAACGAAATTGAAGAAGAGATTAAGGTTAGACTGAAGTCGGGAAATGCTTGTTATTTTTCTGTGACGAAACTACTCAGTTCGCGCCTCTTGTCCCGGAACTTAAAAATTAGAATCTATAAAACAATTATCTTGCTTACAGTTCTTTATGGATGCGAAACTTGGCCGCTTACAATTATACGCAAATAAAGTATTGCGTAGAATATTCGGACCGAAGAAGGATGAGTTAACCGGAGAGTTCAGACGGTTACACAACGCCACGTTATAATTGAGGTAATTTCATCGCGGCGAATCAAATGGGCTTGTAAAGTTGTTGGGCTTAGTAACGAGAGAATTCCTAAAAGGTTAATAAGCCGATCTGAAGGGACTGGGTTTGGACGGCGAACGGTGGAGGGAGGCGTGTAATAAGCGATTGGTGGTGTCGGCATCGAACCTTCGGGTTCGCTAAGCCTTTTATTATTATTATTATTATTATATATATGTTTGAGGGAGTGCTCAGTGGTAGGTTACTGGGCTTAAAATGCTAAAAGTCCCAGGTTCGAATCCCGGCTCATGTCAGAAAAAATATTTATTCTGTTTCATTGGGCGTGGGGCGACCCTGCGTAGGTAGATCCTCTTGGGGCACACCCAGCCTCTATAAAGTGGGTAATGTAAATAATTCATTAAGGGGGAAAACCTGACGTTTCAGCGTGATCTCGGTTAAATCACCTCCTTGCACAGCCGTAGATCAAGAAACATTGCTTTCCCTAAAATATTACTGAACCCAAGACCCTTCATGGGTTGTAGTGGTACAGGTTTTTTCTTTTTTATATGTATATTTAGAATAGTAATTTATTTTGATTTTAATGTTACACAACTTTGTAACCAAATTATTGTTTGTCAGCCATTATGTGCCAGACGATATATTATAGTGAAATTACCATTGTACATGTTTGTTATTTTTAGAGGATAAAAGTCTCAGAATAAAATTTACTTGATAAAGGACATTTAACAAGTAATTTAAGATAAGAGACACGGAGAGTGTAGGTGAGCCTTGTAAAGACAGAGAGCAACAGGTGGGGCGAAGCTGAGCCTTGTAAAGTTCCAGTATTTATTAGAAACCGAGTGGTTCCGTGCCCACATGCCTTGACAGAACGAGTTTTCCTTTGGGTATGTCCAAGAGGAGCTTCCAAAATAGTCAACCTACCTTCACAGCCTGCATTTCCAGGTCTAGACAGTAGATTATCTGGACGATTTGGGAACTAAATTAATAACTAAGGACTAAAATAATATATATTCTTGAAGAAAATTTAATTATGATAAACTTTCTTCTCCTTGATTTAATCTGAGAACGAAGTAATCAAGAGTTAGCTAGTCAAATACAGTAAAAAAAAAACG